CCGTCGTCGTGTGGAAATGAAAATATTTTATGTGTGTGGTACCTTACATTTTTTGGATCGGGGAATGCCCCGCCCAGGTTAATCACGGCTCCGCCGACCGCACCGAAACCCTCTAGTTTTTTTCCTCGTAACTGTTGTCGAAAGGGGATTCGAAGGAACCCCCTGACAAAAAACCAATCAGAAAAAAACCTCTGAGCGGTGGATCACTCGGCTTGCCAGTCGATGAAGAGCGCAGCTAGCTGCGTTACTTAATGTGAATTGCAGGACACATTGAACATCGACATCTTGAACGCACATGGCGGTCCCGGGTTTCTCCCGGGACCACGTCTGCTTCAGCGTCTGTGACAATACCCATCAAAAACTATGTATTTAGTTTTTGCATCGGAGCGTTCCAGGGAGTCAAATCCCCGGTGCTCTTAGAGACAGCGACGAGGTCTCGCCCTTTTTCGCAAGGAGAGCAGGCGGCCCGACCGAACGACTTTAGGTTGGCCAACGGTTCTTTTTGTCTCGATTTAGGGATGAATAATGCTCCGTCAAGAGTTCTTTGGGCCCGGATTGGGCCTCCACACATTCTAGACCTGAAGTCAGGCGGGAGTACCCCCTGAACTTAAGCATATCAATAAGGGGAGGAAAAGAAACTAACAAGGATTCCCTCAGTAACGGCGAGTGAAGCGGGAAGAGCCCAGCGCCGAATCCCCCGTCCGTATGGGCGGCGGGAACTGTGGCGTAAGGGACTGGTAATGCGCGGGCGGAAGGCGGTCCAAATCCTCGTGATCGTTGGTCCTTGCCATAGAGGGTGTCAGCCCCGTAGGGCTGCCGGAAGCTCGCGCGCCGCCGGTCTCCGGAGTCGGGTTGTTTGAGAATGCAGCCCAAAGCGGGTGGTAAACTCCATCTAAGGCTAAATACCATGGCAAGTCCGATAGCGAACAAGTACCGTGAGGGAACGTTGAAAAGAACTTTGAAGAGAGAGTTCAAGAGCACGTGAAACCGTTCAGAGAGAAAACGGTCGGGCCCGCGAGGCGTGCCGCGGCGGGATTCAGCCGTCGGCTTGTTGGGAGGCTCGGGCGGTCGGAGGTCGGTGGGAGAAATTCTGCCTATGCCCTGACCGTCTGAGTCGACCGGCGAGCTGGCGGTGCACTTCTCGTCGTGAGCGGGCCGCGTCCGGATGGATTGACCGGCTGGAAAGCGTTGGCGGAAAGGTGACCGGGGTACCTTCGGGTGCCGCGGCGTTATAGTCCGTTGGTGCGACATACGGCCAGGTCGCCGTCCGAGGTGACGCCCGGCGAGGTGTGCGGTTCTTTGGCCCTTCGGTTCCTCTCGGCAGCGCGATTCTTCGCGCGGTTGGGGGTCGTAGCCGTTGGCGCCGGGGGCCGCCCCCACGTCTTGGGAGTTCCGCGGCTTAGCGAGGCGGTTGCCCGACCGACCCGTCTTGAAACACGGACCAAGGAGTCCGCCGGGTGCGCGAGTCGTAGGGTGCACGAAACCCGAAGGCGAAGCGAAAGCATAGGTCCGATCCCGTGTCGTGCGGGCGCAGGGCCGTCCTCGCTACGAGGCTTTTGTCCTTTGGCGGGCGATCTGAGCGCATCTGGCGGGACCCGAAAGATGGTGAACTATGCCTGAGCAGGCCGAAGCCAGGGGAAACTCTGGTGGAGGGCCGCAGCGGTTCTGACGTGCAAATCGATCGTCAGACTTGTGTATAGGGGCGAAAGACTAATCGAACCATCTAGTAG